TCCATACACAGTGTAGACCAAAAAGCACCGATTATCAAGTGATAATAAAAATAATCAGATATTATATACGCGCTTTTCTAAAATAAACAACTTGCAACAAAACCGCGGTTAAAACCAACGTGTTCAAGTGATTCCTGTAACTGACGTCATCAACCCGTGTGTATCTTGACACAATATTATGACCCGCGGCACATAACACAGAAAATTTTGGTTATTCTCCTTGGATTTGATTTGTTCTATAAGCCAAAACTAAAGACATGCCTCGTAATTCAGTTTACTACGATACCATTTTTACAACACAAAGGTTAGATTACACGCACTGACGGAATTCGTTAGACCAGTGCTTTAGTCCATCTAAGAAGGCTTGTCTTGCTGAATTACAAATCATCCCATACTTCAGGTTCTGTATGTCCTGCATGTATCCAGGTTTCATCCAAGTAATAAATCTTCCTGCCCTGGTCGCGGTATTGCTTTACTGATTTTAAATAATTTCTTTGGAAGTAGGTAAGTCGTCACTATTAACCTACTGTAATACTTTATCTATGGTGGGAGGTTTAAAGAAATTGATAGACTTTGCGTCTGATGGAATTCCGATCAAAGTTATCAACTGTATTCAACAGCTTCGTGTAATGCAGCCTCTTGTGTGGTGGAGAAAATTTTTTATATTCTTTAACAATATTGAAAATTGTCTTAGGACATAAGCCTGTTTTGATCGCCACACGTCTTTCAATATCATGAATTGTCATTTCAGGATGCTCTAAAATTTCGCTCTTATAAACGTGAACGACAATTTTTTTGCCTGAATATTCAAATGTCCTTTCTTGTCACGATTTCGGGGAAGATTGGGAGAAATGTTCTCCGTTTCATCTGCTGTATCCGTAGTCGACATGCTAACATATAAACACACGCTATGTAAGCGCCGAATATGAACAGCAACTGCAGGCGTCGGCGTGCCGGCGATACCCCGAGGCTGAGTTCTATCCTGTCGAATCCTGTTCGTAGTTTTATGGCCGGGGCGTGAATGGACCTCGAATAGGGTATAGCATAGAAGTAGTGACAGCAGAAAATTCGATAATGAATTCATGATCGGTTTTTTCATATATTTTTAACATGTCGTGAAGTTACTTTATGACGAAAAGGGACGTTTGAGAACAACTCGCATAATATATTGCTATATTTTGTA